CCTGGGGTCGGCTCCCACATCAGTTGTAGCCCGAAGCCCCCTAAACCCTAAACCCTATAAGCCCTATAAGCCCTATAAGCCCTATAAACCCCCTAAGCCCTATAACCCCCTAAATAGTTAGTATCATGGGCCAGCTCAATTCCCAAGACCCGAAAACTCCAAACCCTGGGAGCTCCCCACCACAGGTTTAGGGTTTAGGGTTCAAGTTGAGGGTTTAGGGTTTAGGGTTTAGGGTTTAGGGTTTAGGGTTTAGGGTTTAGGGTTCAAGTTGAGGGTTAGGAGGTAAACCCCAAACCCTAAAACTTCCACCAAAGGCCATATTTTCCGCATCGCGTCAGCCCATGGATCAGGAACTCAGAAGCTCGCCGTTGAGATCTCGGGCCTGCACCGTGGCGCCAGCCACACGAATCAAGCAATTGAGCTTGTGAGCTTGAGGGTTTAGGGATTTAGGATGTGCCTCAACCCTGAACCAGAAACCTCAACCCTAAACCCCAGCGTTTAGTATTTGGGGTTTGTGGCGCTTCGGGTTTGGGCATTTGACCTTAAGCTTTCTGGGCATCCGCGATTTAGGATTTTGGCTGTTTCGGGGGCCGAGGGAGAAGATTAGGCTCATGTTCCAAGTCCGTCGCCCAAGGCTAGATCCGAGATTCTGGAGTTCTGCACTCGGGCTCTTGGTTGCTTTAAGGATTCGGGCTCCCAAACATGGGAGCCCTGTATCCGTTATCCCAAACCCGTACCGTGTTTAGGGTTTAGGCGCACCTTAGAGCCTTCGAGGGTCAAATCCAAAGATTAACTAAGAAGGTTTGGGGCGCAATCACAATCCTTGTAGCTTGCCGTTTTGCGCCACGCCGCCTAGACGCTCAAAAGAATCAGTCAGTGGCAGTGCCGTAGCTATGGCAGCTACTTTGCACTTGCACAGTCGAACCGGTTCCATGTGCCGTAGTTGTTTACCACCTCGACACCCTGTGGCTTCCAGCAGAGATGTTTGGATCCTGCGAGATTTTCGCTGCAGCTCGCTGATGTGTCCCTGACGTAGTCGGCGATCGCACCGTGGAGCCGACAGCCACCAGTCCTCTCACGCTTGCAGCAGCAGCACACTTCCTGCGCAGGGACTTCGGGGCTCACCATGATGTAAGGCCTCGAAACCTCCGCGGTCTGGTTCGCATGCTGATGGATCTCCTGGAGGTGACCCTGCTCTGCACGAAGGTCCTCTCCCTTGCGAACGGCAACCGTGGAAACCATGCTGGTGACAAAGACGAGCAGGAGCAGCTTCATGGATCTGGCCGGCAGGCAGCCCGGGCTGTGGATTTTGCAAAGAAGCGGAACTGCAACAGGGGCTGATCAGCTGGAGCCGAAACGGCACAGGCCTCAATGAATGCACCTGTCTCTGTCCACAAGCAAAGGGTAGTCCGACAAGGTCAAGCCAGGTTGGTATATTTCCAGCTGTTCTTCCGTTCCTATTGGACGGCTAGCCTCTAAACCTTAAAGCGCATGCCATTCTTTCTCGTTCTGCTGCTGGCATTGTGCAGTCTCTACTCTTCGGGATGCAAAGCTACTAGAATTCCAGACGCCCAAGAAATCTTCCACTCGTGTCACTTGTGACTACCTACGTGCTGCAGCAGGAATAGAAGTAGCACTAGTGGCAGTAGTCGGCGGCAGCAGCAGCAGCGGCACGGTGCGGGCAAGAGGCAACTACAAGAACGAACCTTGCACAATCCGACGCAGCTTCGTTCGTCTTAGGTCTATCATTCGCAGGATGATCCGAACGCGACTCCCAGAAGCTCTTTAAACCCTAAACCCTAAACCCTAAACCCCTAAATCCTAATACAAGCTCGGCTGCGAGAAGATGTTGGCGCCTGCCGCAGGCGATCTCAGGCGCCGAAGCAGCAGCTGGACATGCGGATCTCGTGCCGCCTGGGCTGTAAGTTCTTACTTTTGACTTTGGGATCTCTGAAATCCTAGGCTTGAGTATCATGCTAATGTTAACAAGAATAATAATAATAGTAGTAATAATAATAATAGTAAGTAGTGATAATAAGTGCACCCGCTCTGAACCCTGAACCCGCGAGCTCGAGCATCGCTCCTGAACACGGGACTCCGCGAGCCAGAGGAATGAACGATAAACCCCTAAACCGTAAACCCCTGACTCTAAACCCTAAGCCCTAAACCTCGAACCGTAAACCACTCTTCTTCTGCGTTGGGGGCTTCGGGAGGTCAGACCAGACTGCCGCTAGTAGCACATCCCTCTAAGAGATAGGTACTGAAAACCTGGGGGGGGGGGGTCCTGGCTGCCGGGAAGTTCATCGTTGACTCAAAGCCCCGCAAACCCCCCAAAACCTTGCAAGGTTTCGGGTTTGGGGCTTGGGGTTCAGGGTTTAAGTACGGTTTAGGGTTTAGGGGCCCAGCCTTAAACCGCAAAGGTATAGGGTTTCGGGGTCTCCGAACTTCAGGGGGCCGAAGCAGCAAGTTCCATGCCCTCGCTCCGTAAGCCTTCACGAGCCCTTCAGTTGAGATCCTGCCCCCTTTGTCACCTCCCACCACGCTCGCAGAGAACGAGGGTGTCGGATGCAACGGCCAGGGATTCCACCCCGGCAAAGTCCTGCACTCTGTTTAGCAAGGAAGCTTGTAGGGGACGAGGGAGGCCGGCCTTGAACGTGGAGACTTTCAAAGAGGACCGGGGCGCGGATGAGGGGTTCAGGGCTTTGGATGAAAGCTTGGGAGTTTGGCTTCGAACTTAGGTCTTAAGGCTGGCTGTTGGACTAGACATTGAAGCTGAGAGTTTTAGAGTTTTAGACATCACGACCGTCGCGCTCCTCGGAAATGCTGAGGAGAAAGCAGGCAAAGGACCTGAGTGGCGTTTGGACGGTTGGGATGTGAGGCTATGGGGTCTGCGATGTACCTGCTTAGGGGGAGAAGGGTTTCAGCACTCACGGCAGTAAGGCTTCAGGGCTAAGTGTGTGTGTGTGTGTGCGGAATTTTGTTAAGAGAGGATGAGCTCACTAGCGTACTCTCAATACTAAGGTGACCCATGATCCTGCAAACCCTGAACCCGAAACGGCAGTGACAAGATGACTATATAGGAGGGCTTTGGTCATTAGCCTTGTGCTCTTCTTCTACCATTACAACTTGTTCCAGCCTCTACTGCAGTACCACCAAGGTACCGCTCTTGCTTGTGTTTTTTCTGCTGTGCTGACCATGATTCAGCCTACAACTCCGGCGACAAAGGTTGAACCCGTCTCCGATACAAATACACGCGAGACTGCTGCCATGAGGGTTTTCACAACACCAACGTCGATACCATGCCATGACCCCATCCTAGAACCCAAGTGCCAATTCTCCTGTGAGATTTTGTCTTGCTGACTCGGTCACAACCCAAAAGAAGCAGCAAATCCCCAGCGCTGAGATCGCGTTGATGTTGAGAGTTTAGGCTGGGGCTCCCAAAAAGAGACCTCTTGCGTTCTCTTTCGAAGAGGAGGACTCCCGCTAGGTTGTTTCTAAATGTGGAGGTTTTGTTTCGGACCCCAGCTTTCACACGCAGCGGCTATTGCGAGAACATGTGGCAACAAAAAGCTGATAATTTAAGAATGGCTGTTATGAGCAGACATGGTGTTCGTGGAAGTAGCGTGCGAACTGCACCCCCTGAACCCTACACCTAAGCTGTTAACGTCAACCCCAAAGCTTTCTCTGTCCTTCTCTCTCCCTCTTGCTCTCTCTTGCTCTCTCTTGCTCTCGAGTCGAAACTTGCGGCCAAGCAGGTCCAACAAGCCCTCACAGGGCGCAGAATCTCCGCACGCGCGAAAGCCATGGAGGGGGGGGACTGCTTAAACAAAGGGAGTTCTTGCCCAAACCTGAAGCCCTCTAGAACCCGGATAGAAGCCCTAAACCCAAGAGGAAGCCCCCTAAACCATAAACCTCATAGAGCCCTAGAACCCCCCAAAGAAAGCCCCAGCCGTGCCTTTGTCGGCTCTCCCCAGCATCCAGGTACTCGAAAGTCGGAAGATCGAAGATCCGGGGATGCTGTGACAAGACCTGAATCTAGGGGGGGTCATTATGATGTAAATACATAATCATACATACATATATATATATGATACGATACGATATGATATGATATGTATTACAATATATATATATACATATATA